TTGTCCTCGACAAGTTGTTCTCCTGGTTTGTTACACTCTATGTTAACATGTGACCCGACTGACTGAAACAAGAGAGGGTCTTGGGGGGATTGCCTTTGAACAGTAACCTAACGTTTACGGAGGTCTGAAAAGAGACTGCAGATTGGGGGAACGGGGAGTAAAAGAAACACAAGAAAAATGTTCATGAGATGGAGAAGTGGCTGAACTAGGTTTTCTTATCTCAACCTTCCAAATTACCAACCAGTGGTCCCCAATGCGGTGCCTGTGGGCGCCATGGTGCCTGCCGGGGCATTCATGTGCGTCCACCTAGTGACCAGGGCCAACCCGAGCCATTCTTGCACCCCAGGGCCCAGGCGCCCGGTGCATGCGTGGTCCCCGCCCCTACTCAGCCTGGCAGCCCCAAAAAGTTGGGGACCACTGATCTACATGTTGTGTTAGTCTCTAAGGTGCTGCAAGGCTATTGGTTGTTTAAGCTTTTCCAGTTACAGACTAACTCTCCCCCCCCCCCCCCTTAAGCCACACCCGTGTTGAGCAAAAGACGCTGGTTAAGAGCACAGCAACAGGGGCACAGAAGAAGAAAATGTATCTGAAGGTGGAATGGCCACAGGCAAGGAGAGAGAAGCGAGGAGTGGAGATGAGGACAGACGAGAGATTTTGATGAAGATGTTCTAGATGTGCCCCTCCCCTGACTAGGGATGTGGTGGGACCTTTAATGTCTACATACGGCAGGCAGGACCTCGGCTCTTATAAACTGACCACTGTACAGGGAAGTGTCTTGGTCCTCTGCATATTTCAGTGATGACAGTCTCGGTCAAAGCTGCAACTTCAGGGCATGTCAATACAGCAATGAAAAGGGTGGGATTTCCATCCATTTCAATGGGACTAGCAGGCTGCAAGCCTCTGGAACAGCTCTCTGTGTATCCGGTTGCACTCATCCCTTTGAAGGGAGTGAGGGCCGGATTCTGATCTTCATTTCTCAGACGTGACACTGCTCCGAGAGCCGAATCTGGCCTGTGCTTCTTCACTTATAAATGGTCAGTTTTCACGTGCCAAATCAAGGATGTGTGTACATCTTTCTCAAGATGCTTCAATGCTAGGCTACGAATACATTCTCCCCAAGCTGTGTCAAAAGCAAATATTTCCAGCCATTTCCTATGGGTGAAGACTGCTCCAGTGTTCAAAGCAGAGATGTATTTCCACCTCCTAGTAAGCAAGAGACATCTGGTTTATGAAATGAATAAGACTCCTTAAATAAAAAGCTTCTGGATTGTCTGTTGAAAAGTATTCTGTAGGTGATGTCTGCATAAGCTTTTCTCCTACGACTTGAGGGAGTACCCCTCCAGCTAGCAATGAAACAGAAGCAAATGGCAATTTAGTAGGATATACATAACTGAGCAACATTTTTATCCATAAATGGGGGCATGTGTGTCTTGATGGAACTGATTTTGGTGTATTTGAGCCGTCTGAATCTTCCTACAGTGACAGATTTCCCTAAGGATTATTTTAAAAGCTCCAAGTGCTTGCCTAAGGAGAGAAAAGACACACATAAACCGGCAGCATTTTTAGAACACCTTCCTTTGCTGTGTCACTTCAGAAGACGGAAGAGAGAGGAAAATGATTCGGTAAGAGGTTGTGAGATGATAGAGCACTTGGAAAACATTCCACGAAAGAGAATGCACATTGGTCCTGGCCCGGGTTTGGGAAAGGAAAGCGAAATGGCATGGCTAAGATTTTCAAAGCAGAGGGCCTCAATCAAAGACTAATGTTTTCCCAGTTCTGGAACATGCACTCTGTGGACAGACACGCTTGGCATACCCCGACCTTACCCTTCCATCAGGCGACCTCGATGCAGGTCAGATTCATGCCAATCTGCTTGGTCTGTGCAAGCGGATAGAATTCTAGACTGCATGTGTGTTCTACAAAATATACTTCCCATGTCTCGTGCGCGCACACACACCCACACACACACACACACACACACACAGAGAGGAATGCTGTGACATTGTGACATTACTGTCAAATTTTACATTACACTGTTAGAATGACTAGCCCCGGAGGGGTTGGGGGAGGGGAAGCAATCTTTGCACTGCCACTGGAGCTAAGATGCGACAACTCAGTGGAAGATCTGCCCATCAAGCTTAAAAATCTCTTCCTTTTGCCAGGCACAGCATGACCGATGAGTTCAGAGGAAAAACCTGAGCCCAGCTGTGAGCCTGTTGCAGTCAGCTGAGTTCCAGCCTGCAGAAAGATCAGTCTCTTTCATCGTGCCTCATCCCATCGCCTCGTGATTGTTTTTACAGCCCTCCGTTGTAAAACTCCCCGCGCTCTGCTGCATTTCGGTCCCGGTTCCTGAGTCTGGCTGAGCCCCGCTCTTGTTCTGGGTCGGGAACACACTCGCATCTCGCTGAAATCAGGGGGCTGGATCAGGGCCATGTGAAAAGCCGTTCTCCAGTGCTGGCAGGAACTCGTGTGTTTCAGGCTGGGAGGTAGATTTCACTCTTACTGGAGCTGCTGTGGGTCTCTCCTTACCGGAAGCCCAAGCCTCCAGGAGGGGTAGACGAGCAGAGTCCACAGATGGAAGGAAGGGCTGCTGCTCCCACAGCCCTGTAAAGCAGAGGGTCTTCTCTGGGCAGTCAAAGGTAGCTCCCAAAAGTGAGCTTCCCTGTGATGTACCTGCCTGAGGGCAGTCTAGGCTACAGGACAGTGTGTGCGTGGGGGGAAGAGGGGGTTGGGTATTTTGTTTTTGTTGTGCTCCCTCTCGCAGCAGAGGTGTGGGTCGGCAGGAATCCCATCTGTCCGTCTGTCTGTAGCTGTGCTTTCCAGTGTTCACGTTCTCGCTTCTTCTGCACAGGTGCCTGTGGGACACTGCAGTCTGCCTGGCCCGGGAGGGCCTCCCTGAAGCTGTAGACAGGGGGCGATTGCTTTAATTCTTCTGCCCACCGTGTCAGCGCATAGGCTTTTCTCTGCCCACATGGCTTGGAAATTTGCAGGGTGGGTCAATTTCAGGGTGTGCCGCGGTGGTGCATCTCCTCAGCTTGGGTGCAACTCTGGTTCCAGTCCCTCCACCTAGTTAATCCCCGACACTGTGCTGTGACGCCCCCAGAGACTTAGCCAGCTGAGGATAGCTGGCATGCAGTAACGTTCCCAAGGTGCCTGAGGGGCCTGCAGAAGGCAGCAGTGCAGAATCGAGCTACGCCAGCCGGGACTGTCCTTCACGCGAGGAAAACCCCAGGAGGGGAGACGCAACCACTTTCTGGATCTTTTGTGCCAGTGTACTCTTTAAGCTGAGCGCGTGGGTGGCCTCCCCACAGAGCGCCCACAGCATGTGTTTCTATTAGTGGTGCACATCCACACATGCCTTGGTGCATACAACAAAATTTATTCCACACGTGGTTGGAAAACATTAGCGGGAACAGTGCTGGTGGGGCTCTAAGAGGTCATATCACAGCTGAAAATATTGCCACTGTCTGGCAGCCACCAGCAACCTCCTCTCTTCCCCATCTGCTGCAAACCTTTATCATTTGGAGCATCATTGCAGAGGATAGAATGGTTGCCACCTCGCGCTTAAAGGTGCTGAGTGAAGAACAGCAGGCTATAATTACTCCATCCCCAACTGTATGTCAGGCTATTTCTAGACCCAATTTTGCAGTAATGACATACAGAGCGGTATTAGCATTCAGCGCAGCCCCCGGGCACTGGACTGGGGGAAAACAATGAAATAGGAGATTTTAATAGTCATCTTTGCATGTGTGGGAAGGGTCTCAGCATGGCAGTGTTCAGACAACCCCAGTTTCTGTTCAAACTGCCCATTTAGTGCTGAATACATCACTTGGCAGATGAATTATTTTAATACAAACCAAAGCGCTGTTCCATGCGCCTAGAAATGCAGAAGGAGTGGGCACAGGCATTTGCCACGTAGACTGTCTAGTATAAGAAAGGAGCCAAAGGAATATGGGTTTTTAATGTGTATTGATCCCACCAATGTGCTGAGTCCTCTTCCTCCAAATGAGCTGGCCCTTTGAAAACTGTTACCCCAAGGGGCAGGTGTGGTGAGCAAGAGGGCACAGACTGGCAGAGGGTTTTTCTCTGAAGACTATAGTATCCATAATCGCCACGGACAGTTACAGTCAAACCCTGCCTTCCTTAAGCTTGCACAGAAGTGAGCATTAAAGTTATCACAGTGACTGTCCATTCGTAACCTCGCTATAATTGAAAATTGTTTCCAGGCCTTTGACTACAGCTATTATGCACCACTCATCCTTGTCAATGAGTTGCCAAGCTGCAGCCCTGACCCAGGAATAAACCTTGTTTATGCATGGCTGGGTTTTCCCCCTGTGGGTGTGCGTATACACGTGCACGCAATGAGAGGGAACCATTGCCAGCCTGGAACTCCCCAAAATGCAGGGCCCTCATGCTCATTCTTCCCTGGAACTCCATATTCCTCAGAAGAACAGGAGAGGGTTGAGGTGAAGTCAAGGCTGTGGCTCCACCCACTGGCCACCAAAGTTGGCTGGCCAACTCAGAGACGGGGCAGAGTTTGGTGCCCTTCTGGAGGCAGACAGCTGTTGATTCATTTCCCCTGCCAAGCTGGAGTTCTCTAGGAAGAATGCTGCTTATAGAGGTATAACGTCTGCCAGAGCAACCCTGAGGGTAGCACATCTCTGCACCCTGCCCAATGTGGGACCCTCTCTTTAAGGCAGCCTCCGGAGCGTACGTCAAAGGGACTAGTCACATGAGCATGGAAATCCACTGGCACTCAAAGATCGAACTCTGGAATTTTAGGCAACAGGATTTAAAAATGTCTGTACCCAAAATTTGAACTTATTTTACGACCTAGTTGACACCCTCTTATTTGTGTAGCGTGCCCGTGGACAGTGGTATTGATCAATGAGCCATTAACCCTCACCTTAATATCCTCGCTCAATGGGAAGATGGATAAATGTTACCATTCAGTTGCCTTGACCAGTCACAAATGGAAAGCAAATAGAAAAGTTTCTAACCTGTTTTCCTCTAGCTGCATGGCATTCAGTGCCCGTCAGTTATCGTCTGCCTTTCCTGCAGGAAAAAAAGGAAAGCACAAAAAATGACATCAATTATTTTTCTTGTCCAATTATCTCCTGCTCCTCCGAGTTCCTTTAAGTAATTCTGTAGACTAAGGTGACTCCATACCCTCAGTTGAAAACAGCATGGATTGATAGCAGAAGTGGCCTATATATTTAAAGGAAAAAACCCAAACCTCAGCTATTCATTGAGAACTGAAAGTAGAACACACACCGTTCTGCAATCAGGACCGTGAAGAGAGGTAAAACAAGTCAGAACACTCTTGGTGCATAACATTGCTGGAGAGCTTTTCTCTCCCACGTATACAAATTCCTGATGATGGAAGTACGAGGCATAGTAAACTATAATGCTATGCACCATGAAGTTTATGACTTCTTATAATTCTATTCACAGCCCTGACTTGGAAGGCTGGGCTTATTCTATTTTCTGTGTGTATATGTGTGTAGTCAGAAACATTTTTCTATGATGGATTACATGCCCCTGATTAAATCTGTTTGTATGGAGAGCTGTGTCTTGTAACAGAATGCTGCAGATCAGTGGTGGGCAACCTGCACCCCATTAGGGTTCTACATGTGGCCCACAAGACATTCTGTTTACCATTGCCCATGCTCAGGGTTGCCAGATACTGATGGTTTTCATCTGTGTCGCTTTTTCCTACTAGTATTACAACGGTAACATGCACATAAAGGCAGGGCACGTGAAGTGAGGTGGGTGCTGATTGCGCACAACATTGACTGTGTGCTCCCTCTGCATCCAATCACAGTGCTGCTCCAGTTCACCCTGCAAATTCTAGGCACGCAAAGCACAGTGAGCAAAACTACTCTGTCCTGGGAGACTGACTGGGTTACAACAATCTTGCAGCCCACTGAGATGAAGGAGGCCACTCATGTGGCCCGCTCACTAGCCTAGACTGCCCCTCACTGTTTCAGATCCTGATGGGATGGGAAATGGGTTAGGCTGAGAGATCCCAGGAACAACAGTTCCGATGAATCTCCTCCCCTTTTGTGTCCTCGTTGACAGATGGATTATATTCTTTGAGCGCCGGGTGATCTGCATCTTTTGACGGTTTACTGAGGTGCCTAAATATGGATTCAGGTGCCTGTTTTTGATCCTGATCCAAAACCCATTGAAGTCAGTGGAAGGATTCCCATTGACTTCTGTTGGCTTTGGATCAAGTCCTAGTGGCATCCAGATCTCGGCCTTTCTGCCTAGTTTTTGTTTTGTCAAGCTGTTAAATAAGGATAATGACTAGAGGGGAGATGATTCTGATGGAGTTTTCTTGGATACAGGCAAATTCCACCCCATCTTTACTCAGGTGCTGCAAGTCAGGGAAAGAATTTGGATGGGGGTGTGGCTCCCTGAGCTTGTGGGGCTTCCCTTTATTGGATCTGCCCCAGCTGGGTTGATGGGGGCTGTTTCTGTGGTAGCTTGTGTATCCAGGTAACACTTAAGTAGAGTTGCATCTGCTTTAACGGGTGCCCTTAAAATGTTAACAGGACCAATAGACTCCAGCTGCAATGGAGCTAATTCATTGTAGGGACCTCCTGGAAAACACAGGCATCTTCACTGTTAGTTTTCAGTTTCTAGTTCTTTTTGTCCAAACTCATTTTAAGTGAGCAAGTAGGTGGGGCTTCTGCTGCTTTGCTTGAGAGCTTTTTCCAGAGCCCAATTGCTTTGCACAGCAAGGAAGTTTTACCAACTACGCAGCCTAAGCTTTTTGTTCTTTGAGTCCATCCTATTATTTCTCATTATATCCCCCCCTTTTTTATTACACTCAATGATCCCTTTAGTATTGACATAAGAACAGCCATATTGGGTCCATCTAGCCCAGTGTCCCGTCTTCTGACAGTGGCCTGCAATGAGGAGTAATGATAGTTCGAATTAAGAGTGTTAATTCAAACTACTTAGCCAGTGCTGCATGTAGCTGCAGGCAGGTAGTTCGAGCTACCGGGCATTTAAAAATGGTGGCATCTCTGCTATCTTAAAAGTCTCTGGCGTACATCCTATGTCAGGATGGGTCCCCGGTTCTCTCCGGCTTGTTGTTCCCTGCAAGGGTGCATCTGGGATCAGGAGCTGAACTGAAGACAAGATGGAGCTTGCCACATGGCATTTTATATCCATCCCGGGTCTCTCCCAAGCTGGAGCAGGTCACATGGCCCAGTGACCTATCCTTGTGTTCCAAGCCAGCAATCACTGTTCTGGCTGGTCTGCAGGCATCCAGATTCATTCCTCAAGTGTGTCTTTGGCACCTAGAGATCCAGTGTCCCTGGAGCTTTGCTAATTAGCATAGCCATTGAACGAACATTCCTGGCACATTTCTCTGCCTCAGAGAATTTTCCAGCATCAACACAGAGTCCATATTTATAACTCCACACACAGATCTCACACAAGTACATGAATAGCATAGACAGAATCAGTAGAACAGAAGCTTTCATGTGACACCTCACATGGCCCCTTTTGTATAGATTTTTGGGGCAAACACCCCCCCCCATGGTGCAACAGTGATCTTTAGATACCTGGCCCTATGGCTCTGCTTTTTTACACCCACCCCCCTCCTCCCAGTGAGTTTCCCTCTGTTTCACAGAAGCCTGGTGAGAATTGATACACACTGAAACATATGCAAATCCTGACATGTGTGTGTGTGTGTGTGTGTGTGTGTGTGTGTGTGTGTGTGTGTGTGTGTGTGAGAGAGAGAGCTGTACAGAATTCGGGATCGGGATGTCACGGCTCCTGGCTGTCCAAGTTGTAGATCCCACATCTTGAAATGACCTAGTTTCACACATCACTTTTCTTGAGCTGTGCCGTATTCTCCAATTTCTTCAAGCTCCTGTTCAGAGCAGGGGTTAGGGCAGGCCACTCCATAATGTACAAAGGGCCATTTTCTACCGAGATAGATCCTTACTGCCAGTGAAACATGCTGCTCGTTGTGTTATCAAGGGCATGAAGCATTAGCCAGCAAGACCTCTCCACTCCAATTCTTGCTTCATCACTTTTACATCAGACATGTTTTCTCTTCTGTTCTGAGACACAAAATATTGCTTTCCTTTGCTGTCCAGAGCAAAGCATGGATAGGAGGCAGACTAAATGTGCTCTGGTTTTCTTGAAAAAGTTTTGGCTCAATTGCCCCACAAACAAAATCACTCTTGCAGGCACAGGTGATGAAAATAAACAAGATCAAATATCTCAAGCTATTGCAGGTAGAGCAGAAAAATCTTGAGCCAACTTCCCCTTTAAAATCTGGATTGACCAAATTATTCTGCTTGTTCCCTTCTTTTTCTTCCCCCCCCTTATCAAACACTTTCAGACCTGCCAAGTCCCAAGTGGATTTTCAGCATTCTCATCTGTGCAGCCGTTTCCTGCAACTGGAAGCAGTCTCGCTTGTTAATGAGCTACTTGCCGGCCTTTTAAAAGTGAAACTTTACCCTCACCAGTGAAAGTTGTTGCTGCTCTTTGTTGTTTAATTGATGAGCTCTGGCGTTTTGTACATCCCAGGTGCTGGGAATTCAGCAGAGACCTGGCGCTGCAGCACGCTCCCGCTGGTCGTTCTTAGCTACGGTATGTTCAGAATATTGGTCGCACAGAAAGTCTTCTGTGTAACGGAGCCTGGTTCTGAACAGTCCCCGGAAGCTCATCTCTCTCCCCTTAGTAAAACAGGAGCAAGACCTGGCAGGAAAGGACAGACCCGGGGATAATTTCATTCCCAGGCCCTGTCTTGGCCACTGAGAATTGCAGGACTGGCTGGCTAACCGGGTAAGACCCAGACGAGCAGGCTGCTGAATTGTGTGTCTGTGTCAATAGATCAGGAAGCTCAGTGCGGCAGGGGAATCTTGCCTGCGGGTAGGCAGCTGTCCCCTTGTTTCAGGAAAGGGGCTCAGTGCCCCCAGAGCTGCCCTAGTGTGGAGGCTTGGGGGGTTTGACATTGGCCGGAAGGACAGGCAGTGGCATCCGCCAACAGATGGTGCCGGGAACACGCTGGCAGCGTGGGGAGCATCCTCCGGAGCTGACTGCATTGCAGGGCTTCTGTGCCGGCGTGACCCTGCCCTCGGCACCGTGAGTGGCAGCGAGCTGCATTGGTGATGAACGTGCAGAATGAGGAATGAAGTGGTGGGAGGGAAGTCGCTTTCGCTGCAGCAGGCTCCGGCGGAAGCTCAACCCAGCTCAGAGGACAGCCCTCGGCTCTGCCCTGCGCTTCAGCCGTGCCTTTCCCAAGCCCAGAGTATGTGCTCTCTGGCTTCCTTGGGACAGCCGTGGCTCCGGGTCCCCGCCAACAAAATCCCTCTTCGTGCCCACAAAGAAATGAAAATAAACCCCATCAAACCATTCCCGCTCGAGTTATTGCAGCTGGAGCCGAGGAATCTTGAGCCAACTTTCAAATGCAGACTGAGCACTTTGCAGAGGTGTTGCTCAGATGGGCTGGCCAGGATCTAAGGAAACTCTAGAAGGGTGGGGGTACAATACGTACCTATAAATGTCAGCTGTGGCCCCTGCAGCCAGCTCTCTCAGCCCTTGTGCTTTGCCACTGCCCTGCCAGATGGACACCTCTCCTTGAAAATAGTACTCAGTGCAGAGAGCCACTGCCCTCCCAGCTCCGTCTGCGCAGAGACACAGGCAACTCCTGGCCATGCAGGGGAGGCCTGATCCCACAAGGCACTTGTGTCCATAAGCACACGCTTAGCCCTGTTGGCCCTGGTCGACACTAGGGCTTTACTTTGAAACTAGCCAATTAGCCCATCATAAGATGGGATTTTCAGGTTTCTCCTTCATGTCAGTCTTCTCTCCTGAGCCTCCGGTCTCTCATTCTGTCTCTCTCTCTCTTCTCCTCCTACTGCCTCCCCGTCTCTCTCTGAGCTCTCCTCTGCCTCCTGCCTCTCTCTTTCTCTTCTCCTCCTCCCCGCCTCTCACTCGGGGGACCACAGAGCCCAAACGGCTGTTGGGGCTCTGCACTTCCCGTGCTGGATGGGAAGCTCGGAGCCCAAACGGCCGGCTGGGCCCCC